TCATTGTGCTTTTAATTTGTATTTCCCTGATGATTCATATTGTTGAGCATGTTTTCATAGGCTTATTGGCCATTTATATATATTTCTTTATGAAATATCTGTTGAAATCTTTTGCCCATTGCTTTATTGGGTGATTTCTCTCCTTATTAACAAGTTGTAAGAGTTCTTTATATATTCTGGATTCAAGTTAAATATAATTATTGCAAATATTTTCTTCTGTGGCCTTTATCATTTTAATAATGTCTTTTTTAAGAGCTTTGTTGAGATATAATAGACATATAATAAACTGCACATATTTGAAAGCTACAATTCAATTAGCTTTAACATATGTGTACACTCGTGAAACACTCATTAAAATCAAGTTAGTGAACATTTCCATCACTGTCAACAGTCTCCTGGCGCCTCTTGGAATACTTCTTTACTCCTCCTCCATGCCCATCCCCAGGCAACCATTAATCTGCTTACGTCACTATAGATTATTTTGCGTTTTCTATAATTTTATATATATAAAATAATATAGTGTTTCCTTTTTTTTCTGGCTTCTTTCACTAACATAATTTATTTTTAGATGCTTCTACATGGTTTGTGAAACAATACTTCTCTTTCTGTTGCTGAGTCATAGCCCATTGTATAAATACTGCACAAATTATGTATTTATTCACCTATTGATGAGCATTTGAGTAGTTTCTAGGTTTTGGATATTAAAAATAAAGCTTCTATGAATATTTGTATAACAATCTTTGCATGCACATATGGTTTCATTTCTCTTTGGTCTAAAATCAATGACCTCCACGTTCACCTTAAGACGGAAGAAAAAGACCAAATGAAATGTATAATAAGCAGAGGAAATAATAAAGGTCAGGGCAGAAATCAATGAAGCAGGATACAGAAAAGCAACGGGCAAACATTGATTGAAAAAATCTGTCTTTTTTGAGGAGATAATAAAATAGATAGACTTCTGGCAGACTGATGAGGGAAAGAAGACACAAAAAGATTATATGTATATCATTTTATGTATTTACAGAACTTCATCACAATGAAGAATGTCTGCTCTTCAAAAAATTGTACAAAGAGAAGACTCAGACTAGGAGAAAATATTTGCAAATTTTCCATCTGATAGAAGACAGTATCCAGAATATGCAAAGAACTCAAAAAACTTGATCACAAAAAACGAAGCAACTCGAGGAAAACATGGGCAAAAGATTTGAATGGTCACTTCACCAAAGAAGATATAGGAATGGCAAATAAGCACGTGCTAAGATGCTGAACATCATTCGTCGTAAGGGAAACACAAATCCAAACCGCAGCAAGATCTAATTACGTACATATTAGAATGTCTAACGTTAGGAAGATCGACCATATCAAGTGCTGGAGAGGACGCGCAGGAATGGGGATTCCCACAGAGTTAGGGTGGGAGTGGAAAATGGCACAACCACTTTGGAACAGTATGACAGTTTCTCAAAAGGCTAAGGATGCATCTACTAAACGACCTGGCCATCTCACACCTAAATATTTACCAAAACACAACTTGAAATCTGCAAATTTGAAACCCCCAACTTTTGGAGGGATCTTCAAATTTCTGGTTTGGTTTTTTTCACAAGAAAGTGTTATTCAGATGTCTGGTGCAGATAAAATATTGTCATTACTGTCAACATGAGTTTTCCTGTTGCTGCTGGAGAGTCACGTGCAGCCTCTAGGTTGGAATTTATTTGATGTCTTTCCTAAGTCACAACATTATTTGAAGAGCATCCTTCATTCATTCAACATTAACACCTATTCTTATTAGTAAATTTTTTCCCTCTATGTTTGAAAAAGGCATTAAATAAAGCTCTAACAAAATAATTCCTGTTAACTTGATTACTTTTAAATTCTCTTTTAGTGTAGCATTATTTTTCATATTTATAAACTATCTATTCCTAATTATCTAAAATACCTTAATAGCTTAACTACATTCGGAGTATTTTTTCCTTGGCCTGGCTCAGTTCCTCCATTATGATCTCTAGTTCTTATTTTCCAGTGAAAAAAATATTTTTAATTAAGAACATCTTCATTTTGGAGTTTTCAAGGCAAAATTTCTGCAGTCAGCTTTCTGACTGCTGTTTCGAATGTGAAAAGTGAACTCGAGCTTGCTTTCCTTTGTGTCTTCTTCTCTCCGGACATGCGCAGCCACTGGGCTTACACATCAGCCAACGTGATCGGAGAAATGCAGTGGGTCAGGCCTGTGTCGCGAGATCAGGGAACATAGTTTTCTCTCCAGTGAAAACAGAGCAAGTGGTTCTCAAATCTGGCAGCTTCCAGCAAGCCCTGGTGCGTCCATTCGGTTTGTGAAGCTGTTCCGCCTCACATCCTCCCCGCGCTGTGACAGTCTTTGTCTCCAGGCCTGCGGCACAAAGACCGCAGGAAAAGGGCCTGGGAGCGGCTTTTCTTGGGCTGGGGAGATATCCAGGATTTCAAGGCAAGGAAGGAGGTCTGATCTTTGCAGCCCCCTTTGTTTCCTCTCCCCTAGTTTTACTGCCCTCTTTATCTGTAAATAAAAAGAGTTGTACATACATTTTCAAAATGTGCTGCATAATACAACTTCATACATTAGGGATGCTGACAGCTGCCCTCTGAGGTATGGCTTGACAGCCTAAAATCCAGAAATCCATCACCGAGATAGAGCGATGCTACGCCGTTGCTCCCGGCATGTACTGCGGCACCCTGGAACCACTTATTTGAGATATGCCATCGTAACTCTGATAGATTAAAGCACCACATCCAGGACACAATTGTTGTGGGGAGAAATGCTATCATAGATCTGCCCTGTTACAGCCCAGAATCCAGCAGCCCACCGCGCAGGTCTGTGCTGAATCCGGGCTTCCAGAAACCTGTGAAGCAGTAGGATGACAGTCCTGTTCTTCAACAGCCCATTATGAGCTAATTAGCATACATGAATTGCAGATTTGAAGCATTAAAGTGATGTACAAATCATTAATTTTTTGTCAAATCCATGTCATCCTTGTGTGTGCCTTCCTATTTTAATGTTGCATGACAGTGAAAAGAGGCACCATCCTCTGTCTATAAAGAGGAGATCTGGTGTAGCTGATATAATGAGATCTATGTAAACACTATGTATTTTTCAGCTTTGAATATATCTGCTTGGAAAACTGCTACACTTGCCCCATTAGGGTTAATTGTGAAAGAATGTTAACATATTCAGAACCCCAGGGGTAGTTCCGCATGTTGGCTGAAGGAAACAGGGATGAAGACCAACTTCACATTTGAGCTTTCTTTTTAAAAAGTCCTCTTTTTGATGAATAAAAAGAACCCTAAAATCTTTGACTGACTGCTGAAGGCGTGACTATGTAGAATGAGGCCTGAGCTTTTAGGTGTGTGAGGGCTCCCAGGCTGCAGCTCGACTCTTGTTAACCCAACACCGAACTTAATTTATAAAGACGTGTAATGTAATGCGATGGAAAGGGGGGAGCAACATCAAAGCCGTTTTCACACTGGAAAAGGCTTCTAAACATTAATTTGTGGTTTTCTGTATTGTCTCTGTGTATTTAATTACTAAAGCTATTTGTGCTTAAACAAATGCCTCGTGTTTCATTTGAATTTCTATTTTCTTATTACGGTGGAGTCACAATGCTTAATTTGTTAGTACTGTAATAGTTGCCATGGTAACAGACCCTAATGTTATATATAAATATGTATGTGGGATGTATATATGTGCGTATTATAGATACATACTATAGATAATTATGACTTCATTCCAAGAGCACATCTCAGAAGACTTAGCTCTCAAGGAAAACCCTAATTACAAGTACAGATATCCTTCGTGAGCGTAAAGATAGGGTCACAAACTCGGTTCTCCTTTTCACTTGGGAAAAATGGAAGTCCTGAGGAAGGGGAGATGCTGCCTGCTCTCTTGTAAGTTCTCTTCTGCCTGAGGGCAGAATCATCCACGCCCAGGGTCATACTCCACGGACCTTTTTCTTCTCCGAACTCTCCTCCCCACCAACTTTTTAACCACACAAAATCCAGACAAAATGAAACCCAAGGCCAAACTCCAGGGGGAGGTGTTTTTCGAAGGGACATTATAACAGGAAGACTGAGGGATGCATTGAAAAGGAGTGGAGAGGGTGAGAGGTTTGTCCCATTGTATTGGTGAGAGAGGGGAATTCGTAAAGGAAAATACATACATAGGTACCACTCGAGTCGGGCATTCACACACGTCTCAGTCATTATTTAAGGTAGATAGCATAGTCTTCATTTCAGAGATAAGGAAGCTGAGGCTCAGAGGGGGTGAGTAAAAAGTGTCATGAGGGTTAGATTGACCAAAGTCTGTGCTCTCTGTACAAGTCACCTCACCACCCTGAGGCCTTCTGTAGTGCCAGGTATCAGATCATCAGCCCTTTCCTTCCAGACTAATGAACATCACAGCTGGTCTCCCATCCAGAGGAAGCTGGGGCAATGCGATGCTGTGCCTTCTGCTGGAGATGACTTTGGCAGTAAACCAAGAAGAAACCTGAATGGAGGGGAGAAGAGCATGGCCACCTCTATCAGTACACAATATTTTCAGCTTCACGGAACAATGACAACAATGCAACTATAGCAGCTTATCTAAATAGGGGTTTATTTTTCATAAATCATCACAAACCCAGGGACAGTCAAGCTTAGGCTGGGATGGAGGCTCCACAATGCTTTCAGGACTCGGCAGTTAAGCAGTTGCTTATTTTTCCACTGTGCCATCCTCAGTGTGAGGCTAGAATCTTCCTGTTCCTAAGATGGCTGCAGCCCCGCTGGACATCAAAGCTGCATTCCAGGCTGGAAGAAGAATAATGAATAAAGGGCAAACGTATGAACCAGTTGAATCTCTCTCTCTCTCTCTCCTCTCTCTCCTTCTCTTTGTAGGAAAAAAAAGTCACAATTCCAATGTTGGATGCCACACATTATGCTTTGACTCATATTGTTTCCTAAATATTAATGAGTGAAGTGTCAAATGACCTCTGGGAACCATGCAAAATATGGAACGCTTCACAAATGTGCATGTCATGCCTGAGCAAGGGCCGTGCTAATCTTCTCTGTATCGTTCCAATTCTGGTACATGTGCTGCCAAAGCGAGCACAAGCTCGAAACTTTTTGAAGATAACGATAACTTTTCAGGAACCCCTAATCAAAAGGCTGTGCTTACTTCCATGTCATTGACCAGCCTTGTGTCATAGGGCCACCCCACAGAGGCAAGAAAGTCTATGGAAGCGAGTCATTTTAACCGAGCCTACTGCTGCCCTCAGTAAAGTGAGGGTTCTTTTAGTAAAGAATGGAGAATGGTTATTGGATAGGTGATGAGCAGTGGTCATCTTCTGTGACAGATATTTGCTGTGACTTCATCAGGCACACACATCGATGTAGAGAAAGAGGCTGTTTGTATCAGGGAAAACATTGAGTGCATTTCTGGCACATGGTTAAACACCAGCTTGGACCTTACTGATTTTCTTGCTGTTTGTTGAATCTTCAGTTTCCGTTCTCAGGTTCCTCCTCTATTTACTCCTTCTAGGTCGGAGTACTGACTAGCAAGCTGCCTTATTGGCAGTTAACCACTGGTTTGTTTGCTGGGCATCTCTCTACCCTAGTAAGATGGTGGCAGTGTTCACAGTCTGAGCAAGTGGGTTCTGCAGAAGCTGTGAAGTAAAGTGGTCAAGAGCTCAGGATTCACACAGAACTGGGCTAAACCCCAGCTTCCCTTCTTATAACCTGTGAGACTCTAAGCAAGTTCCTTAACTTCTCTAAGCCTTGGTGTCCTCATCTGATAAATGAGGACAATAAAAACATATTCTTCTGGGGCCGGCCTGGTGGCGCAGCGGTTAAGTGCGCACGTTTTGCTTCTCGGCGGCCCGGGGTCACCAGTTTGGATCCTGGATCCGGGTGCGGACATGGCACCGCCTGGCAAAAGTCATGCTGTGGTAGGTGTCTCATGTATAAAGTAGAGGAAGATAGGCATGGACATTAGCTCAGGGGCCAGTCTTCCTCAGCAAAAAGAGGAGGATTGGCAGTAGTTAGCTCAGGGCTAATCTTCCTCAAAACAAAAACAAAACAAAAGAAAAACCTTCTTCAGAGGGTTTCCATGAGGAGGAAATGAGTCAATGGGCATAAAACACCTAGAGGAACATCTGACACATGGCAAGCATTTGCCCAATGTTAACGATTATTATTATTGCTATTTGTCAAGTTGACCTGGATTCAAGTCATGGATTTGCCATTTTCTTGGGCAAGTTACTAAGTCTTTGCTCCTCAGTTTCATCAGGTGAAAAATGTTTCCTGGGTGATGCCAGAGATGTAAAGTACCTGGTAAAGAGTCTCCCTTCCTGTCAGAATTTCATTCGTTCAGGATGGTGCATACTCTGCTGAAATTATTCCCTTCTCCAAATCTTTTGCAGCTGGGGGATGACAAAGTTCTGGCCAATGTAATGGAAGTGGAATTTCCTGGAGAGAGCTTGCTTTCCTGAATAAAAAGGCAAAGCCTTATTTTGTGAAGTCCCTCTGCTCTCTCTCCTTTCCCATTGTGTGCCTGGAGGTGCTGCAGCCGTTTTGAAAGTGTGAGGACGAGGGCCGCCAACTAATGATGAAAGAGCAGGACGATAGACTTTGGGCCCCTGACAGCAACACTGAGGCCCTGTACCAGCGTTAGATTACCCAGCTTAAGTGTGCAACGTGAAGAGAAACCAACTCTTAGGGGTTTAAGCCAATATTCCTCAAGAGTTTTATTTTATGTACAGCCAAACACAACCCATGGTGACATTGTCATGTGGAAATTGTATTAACAATCCTCCTTCTCATCACCACTTCTATCTATGATGTGGCCCCAGGGTGTCCATACCTGTGTTCTGTTTTTATGGGCAGTTACCAAAGGGTTTGACCATGGCCCTATGGAAGAAACTTAGTCTGCAGGAAATATTGATCAGGATTCTTCTTGGATCTTCATGCCCTGGAGGACTGGAGAAATCCGAAATGCCTCTGGGACTGGGGGGCAAGGACCAGGCCGTGGTAGGACCAAAGCACAGAGTCCTGAGGGGACCGCTGACCATGGAGAGCCCCACAGAGTCCCTCCAGGTCTACAGTCTGGAGATCAATGAATTTATTACCCCCTAATTGCCTACAGGCATCTGGGTGACATTAAGAATATCTGCATTGGGGCTAAATCTGTGACGGGGCTAAAGAGAGATCAACGCTGACTGAAGCGTAATTTGCAAAGCAGCATTCAGTTAACCTTGTAGTAGGTATCAGGCCACCGACAGACTGAGGACTGAGTTAATGGCGCGACACAGGACAATCTGGGAAAAAATTTCTCTAAGGGTACAGGCCACAGGCTTTTCTGGAGTCTTACTCTGTTTATACAACAAACTTGTTTATACAAGTTTACATGATCCATATATTTTTAATATCACTACTTTCACCAGTTAAAACCCATTTCTAACATCCCTAACGCTAATTGACAAGTCATTAATTTTACCAATGAAAACTTATTTTTAACATGCATTGTGCCAGTTAAGAATATTCTGGTGGTGTTGGGAAATTAAGATAGCTGAATCCTTGATGGGATGCACCTCTGGGGGGGGACCTTCTGATTAGAAGGCTAGCTGATGGCACCTACAGTACTAATTTTTGGTTGGGGCAAATGACCACCCTTATGGTGTAGCTTAAGTGAACTGACATATACGTAGCTTTATGCTCCCTATGAAGTATGAGAGGAGGTACACGTGACAAATATCCTGTAACTAGTAAAGGGCGAAATCAGGACTAGACCTCGTGTCCTCTGACTCCCAAGTTTGGAAATCTTATATCATAGCATCCCAACTTGGCAGTAATCCTATGAACAGACCAAACTTGTTGCCTGAAGAGGGAACCTTGTCTAAATTAGCTCATTAATATCATTAAAAGTTTTCCCACTTAGACTGAAAACAGTAAATTTAGTTGCTGATATTTATCTTAGAGCATCATGTAAGTGGGGAAAGGAAGGATTAAAAAACAGAGCATCAGATAATGAAAGTTTGGATTGGTAAGTGGTAATTGAATGTAAAGTAGCGAATTGTTGATTATTAAAAAATTAATAGAAAACATGATAAATGTTGACCACGGTTCAAAGTGAACCTTGCCTTGTTCTCTCTCCTCTATCCCCACACCACCACGTTTGTGTTTTGCAGGCCTGCTCTGATTTCACGGCCATTTATGTTCATCACTCTGATAATTTCTTTTTCTATTAAGAAGCATCCACTGTATGACTTCTAACTTACTCTTACACAGGAAACGATGGGAAGACAATGAGGGCATTCCCAACGTGAACAGTGGTGTTCGGAGAGGTGCTGTTTACACTTTCAGAGTCTACAATAGATTCTTCCGTGGGGACTCTGCGGTCATCTGAAGAAGTAAAGAGGGTCTCCACCTGCCCTTTGCACGGTTCTCCGGAGGCCAGGCTCACCGCCACTCACCCAGAGGGCAGCCCTCGGATTCCTGCCCCCGCTCGCTGGCCTCCTGCGTTTGGTCCTCTCCGGCTGTTCTGAAGGAAAATCGTTCTCAACACTGCGTGTTTGTTCAATCGTGTAGAGGTGAAGGCTGGAGATTGCAACACAGCAGACCCAAAAGATCTCATTTAACTGGAGAGTGCCGTCCAGCAGGAATAGCACTGATCGAAGCCAGAACTGTGAGGAAACTGGTGGATTTCTGGAGGGAGTCATGAGGGATCCGTAAACTTAATTTCCACCTAAAGAAACTAATACTTTTTTCCCCCAAAATAATGGTACATCGATATCTCCTGCTTTCTCTGTCTGAGAAACAAAGATAACTTTTTAGCCTCCTTCACAGAAATGACGAAATAAAAGCTCCAATAAAAGGCTTAGTTGCACACTAAATGTTAAGTCAGTTCTTAAGGATAATCTACTGAAGTCTTTATTGCCGATCTTCTGGGAATTATAGACCACTGGGCCTGCCTTGAAACTCTCCACTGGGAATAGCATATGGGTCCTAAATTCTGTGCAATTAAACTTCCTGGAAAGGAGGAGGCTGGGAAATTGTAGACCACTGAGTCAATAGATTACAACGAAAACAAAAGCAGCAAATAGGGAAATGGGTTAAAGGGTCAAGTGGTGGCCCTTTCTCTCTTAAAGCTAGTGTCAAAGGATGAGTGCCAGGAGGAGTTCAAACGTCGCCTAAGCTTGAAACATCTTTGGAAAAACCAAGCTGGTTTAACTGATATAATTATTGTGGATTCATTGAAGTCTGAACAGCAAAGTGTTTAAAGCGCTGTCAGGAGATACTAAATCTCCCTTCTGAGACCAGGATTGAAGGAAGGCAGGGCAGCTTTTTTCTCACATTAAAGCAGGATTGGGCCTGATCAGTATTTGAAATATTTCTCTCCCAGTTTTGGGCAGCATTAGATTTTGGTTAGTGAAATATAAATGAACATCAATTGTACATGACAACTGCTGATCCAAACCACTTGAAATTCCCCGAATGTCCCTTTCTCTCTTTGCCTGGCTGCCAGAGTCTGGTCAACAAAGTCTGCAGAGCAGAACCCAGGCCGCTGTGTGGCCCCCAGGCCGCTGAGTGCCTAGCCGCCCGGGCCGAGAGGGGTTAGAGAGAGAGCTGTTTGTTTTGAGAGGACATGAATCACTATCAAGGGCATTACAACATTTCAAACCAGGTCGGGGTATTCAAGTCACTCTGCATTTTGCTCCGAGGCCAGGGAGCTCAGAGACTTGTTGCTGCCTCTGTTGTAGTGGGAATCAAATCCACTTCAGTCACCACTTCCTCCGGCCTCAGGTTGAGGCCAAAGACCTTAAGAGAAGCATACAAGCATCAAGTGTTAAAGCCACAATGATGACGATGGGCAATTTACCTAGTAAACAGTTTTGTTCAGGATTTGGAAAAGGGATGAAGACTAAAACATATTAACTATCCTTTGGTTCGTCCTTGGGGGGAAATTGAGTCACGGTTAGTTCTTGGCCATTATAATGGGTTCCTTGAAGCCACTTCCTAGGCCAAAATGAACAGTTCGTTGTATACAAACTAATTCAAAAGAGAAGGTTGATTTGGTTTTTTGGAATCAAAGTCCTTATCTTTCCATTTGCCTAG